TTAATATCATAAAAATATTTACATGAGAAAAAAAAATTTAGTCATTAAGCGATTTTTCGAATTCGAAATCTACTCCGAAGGCCTCCATATTTTCAAAATCAATAACATTTTTTAAAATTTTCCATGTAAAATCGATATTTGGTTTGATTGCAACACTTTCCCAACTTTTTATTACTTCCCATGTACTTAACAGCTGTTTGGAAGTTTTTTTACGTTTTACTTCTACCATTTGATTTTAAAGATTTCATTAAATTATCAATAGGACGAACTTGGCTTGGGCAAGGAATTCTATATATTGACGGATATTTGGAAAAAACTCCGTCCATCACTTTATTACAAACCGTATCATCATCATTCTCGATTACACTAATTGCTGACTTAGTCGGGGTCTCACAAATTTTATTTATAATTTCCACGGTTTTTTCGTGGTTTTCGTAGTCCCACAGACTTACGCAGCCATGTCCTCCTTTGTCTTTTTGTAGGTAAATACAAATTATTTAGTAATCACACAAACTCAATGCACAACCCTTTGATTGCATGTTAATCTTCTTTCAGCAGACAAGGAAGTGACTGTACGAAGGCGCAATCCACGTTATACAAGGGGAACAGAACATTGGTAGTGGTATAAAAAAGGCGTCTGAAACCATTTATGATGGTGATTTAGTAATGAAATCTCTTGGTGAAACATTTATAATTTATTCTGACTATCCCATAATTCTTGATTCGGGAGAGCAGTATGACGGTTACGTCTTTGAAAAAGTAGGAGAAGAGTGGATCTTCACAACATGTTTGAAACGTGAAGACACACCAAGTGAGGTATTGCAATAAAAATCCTACATTGGTTTTAGTAGCATCAAGATGTAAAATATGTAATTTAAAAAACTATTGATATAAAACTTATTACCACTTCAATAATCAAAGAATATCATAGACTACATTGTACTATTTTTTAATTAAATGCAGTAAATTGAAAGTTACCGATTGTAGTTTTAATAAAATCTACGTAAGTTCGTAAAAACTTAGCTATCACACGATATCAACGCAATTTTTCCGAAAGCTTCAATATATTTTGAAAAGACAATGTTAATTAGATCATTGTTAGGCATGGCAATCTTTTTACATTTTATACATAAATTGATATATTTTTAAGCATATATGCTATGCACCTGAATCCGCAATCTAATCTGATAATACTTATCGATATTCGAAGCACATCTCTTTTATCTGTATATGCATCGTAAACATCCAGAATCCAGACCATTAATTTGCATCACTTGCACCATCAGCATCCTGCAGTTGAATACCGTGTCGGCTGCTGTGCTGGGCTTGTCAACAATATGACATATATATAGTACTGTACATATATATGTCACATGTGAAGTCAAATAATCGAACACGCCTTAGCACTTGGGAGGAACTGGACAGGGTACCCCCTCCACGCTTTCAGAGTCTTAGGTGGAACAACGGATTTAGGTGAACTACAG